AATTTTTTTGTGAGAGACTGTTGATTTATTGTAAAATTATTCAGACATTTCGGTGTAATAAAAATGAGTAATAGAAAATTTAAAAACATTTCTATGATAAATTTTCAACCAATTGGCATAGATTTTAAAAATAATTTGAAACAGAATATTAACTAGTTTTCCATATAGTAAAGACTTTAAAAAAACATCCAATGGTGTAAAGATCTTTTAATATACAATTCAGACATTATGTTTATCTGTAAACTTCTTTTAATGTAAAACTGATCCAAAACATATTTTAAACGAGTTTGATTCTTCTGACATATTTCACGAAAATATTCCCATAAAAATAGTGTTATAACTTCTGAGTAATATTTACATTGATCAATGAGTAATATTTACATTGACAGAATTGGTAAAAACTCAATACATCTAAAGTAAAAAACCTATTTATCAATAACTACATTCGTTTTTAATTGACTGCTAATTTTAAATTAGCATTGAGGTTTTAAAGAGATTGCAAAGAAATTATATTAATCGATCCAAAAATAGTACAGTTTCTTTAATCCACAATGAACAATGGCTTTTTAAATTTCATCGAAACTTTAAACCATTTAACAAATATAAATATTCTAAAATTTATGCTTAAAATTAGCAACTTTGAGTTCGAAATTTTATCCACAGAAGGTATAATATAGTTAAAAAATAAACAAACGCAATTAAAACAGCACTCTAACATATTTCTGCCATTTCTTTTACAAATTAGACTAACAGTTGCGTAAGAGTTTGGCAAAACAATAATATTTGGCACGCGTTAAAATTTCGTTCCTATTACGGATTTTCAGCCAACAATATTGTAATAATAATAATAATAATAATAATAATAATAACAATAATAATAATAATAATAATAGCAATAATAACAATAATAATAATAATAAAAACAAGAACAATAACCAGGGTTGGCAAAAACCCGGGTTTTTTTAAAAAAACCCGGCCCAGTGGGTTTTTTTGGGTTTTATTGGGTTTTTTTGGGTAAATTTGGGTTTTTTTGGGTTTAGTTTTTATTTTGTCCCTGTAAAAATTTTTTTTGTGTTTTTGTTTAAAGATATTGAAAATTAGTTTCATTTTCTACTTTAACTTTATTTAAAACATATTTTATATATTGTTGTTTAATTATTTATAACAAGAATTCTTCAAATTATTTTGAAAAAGATTTTTAAATATAATTTAAAACTGTAATAGAAAAAAAAAATTTCACGCTTAATCTATATGTATTGATTTATTTTAAATTTAAAAGTATTATTCTATTTAATTAAAAATGTCAAGGAGAAAATGGGAAAAAGAAGGCTAGAGAATGGGAGGTAGTAACTGAAGTTCCAATTAAACTTTGAATTTGAAATTCAAAAGAACAAACTTGTTCCTCTGCGCAGCGGCCTTGTTTATAAAGATTCGTGTTTAGGAGTTAAAGAGTTTTTTTTTTTTTAATCAATTCACCTCCTTAAGGTTTAAGGCCACTACAGGCGAGGAGGCTATTTATTTGTGGTTATAACCCTCTCTCAACTCTATAACTCCGAAACACGAACCTTGACGAACAAGGCCGCTGCGCGGAGAAAGGAGTTAAGCGCAGTACTGCCAGGGACGTAGTGGGGATCGAACTCGGAACCTCTCACTTATGAAGCGAGCACTCTACAACAACACCACTACCGCGTAAGAGTTGAGAGAGGATTGTAACCACAACAAGGTAGCCTCCTCGACTGTTGTGTTGGCTTCTCTGGTCACTAATACTCATTTAAATTCAACTTGGGAGGTGAATAACATAAAGTAATAAAAATCTCAATCGATAAAAATATTTGAATAAAAATTGTAATAATGTATTTCTAAATAATGATTCAAATAATAGTAAACCTGCTCTGATAGCTGTCATTGTTGGTTATAGTAGTTAATAATAATAGTTAATAATAATTTAGTTAATAATAATAGTTAATAATAATAGTTAATAATTATTTTAGTTAATAATATTATAGTTATAATGTTAAAGTTGGTTATAATAGTTCATTAACTTGATAAATATCTTTAAAAAAACCCAATAAAACCCAGATTTTCCAGGGTTTTATTGGGTTTTTTTAGGCGGGTTTTTTTGGGTTTTATTGGGCGGGTTTTTTAATGCCAACCCTGACAATAACAACAATAATAAAAATAATAAGAATATCTATAATATTATAAATAATAGAATCAAAATACAATTATTAAGAATAAATATAAAGAATAGATTGAGGGAGGAGTAACTCATGCAGAATCCTGATCAAAAGAGTGACCAAATAATTATATTAATAATATTAATTTGAAAAAAATAATAACAATAATAACTTTATTCATAAGTAGTGCAAAAGTAACAGCAAAAATAATAGTATTTATAATAGTTCTAATAATAATAGTAATAATAAAAACATCAGTCTTAAAAGTAATAAATATTAATTACAAAAACATTAAAGTTTTTATAGAAATAGTAAGAAAAAAAAGTTAATATTGATAAAAAATTAAAATAAAATTTTTCTAGAGTATGTTTAAATTTATTTTGTTTTAAATAAAGAAATTAAAATTAATTTATTTGGAAATATTAAATTTTCAAACTCATATTCAAACTCATCACACAAGACTTCGATTCCATTCGCTGATGCACTGATGTGTAATTGAATACTACATACCTAAAAGTTTTATATAGAGGTACATTTAGTTTTCCATTATTGATGTTCCTAGTTGAATGTGAATGTAAATTCAGCTATGTTATTGTTACTGGTAAATCCACATTTTCCTTTAATCCATTAATATCAGACAACATTTTGCAGTCTCAATGAAGCAATAGTAGTCCTGCCAAAGAAAATCCTTTTTCATCCACTGCAGCAGCCTGCTGTCTTTCTTTTATTCTGGATCACCTAATTGAATTTTAAGATAAGGTTACATCTGAAATGTCATAGCCAAGCACCTGTGCTTTCAACAACGCTCTGACAATAAACACAGTTTTCGGGTTTGGGAGGTAAACTCAATATAAAGCACCTACAACTTTAGGTAACTGGAAGATTTTCTTAAACTTCTTTTTTAGTGATGAAGCAGAAGCTGTTGAATCTGTTTATTGTTGATGTTGACACTGTTGGCATACATGGCTGAGTTGGCTGATACTCCTCATCTTCTTGTGATTCTGAATTAGATGTCAACAAAGAAAGTTCACCTTCTGTTTGGTTTATGCCATTTGGTCGAGCGTTCTTTATATCACTTTTTTTTTTCTCTTTTTTTTCTCTTTCTCTCTTGTTCCTCTCATCGTTTTTTCTTGCTTTTTTTTTTTTTTGCTGCTGAGTTTACATCTGCTCCACTCATGAGGCAAGAAAAAAAATTAAAATTACATATCTTATTTGTTCTATATTTCTGTCATCACATCCAATGTCGCAATACCAAACAATTCTTCAAGATCACTTTTAAACTTGTCTTCTTTCATCCTGTCACTTTTGCATTGCCGTGTTCTGTGTACCTTTAAAGCCAGATAGTTCTGTTGACAGTTTTCTGACACATCAACTAGCTATTTGGTATCCTGGATTTCATCCAAGTACAAATTAATGCATCACAAGACTTTCAGGAAGAGTTCTCTTTTTTACTTAAATAATGAAACTGGAGCAGTTAAAGTACATCCAGCATACATGGTAATCTTTCTGTAGATAACTTAAAAATTGGCTTTCCAATAACCTAGTGCTTAGAGGTGAATCTCAAACTGGATTTGCCAGAACTGGAACTGCTATTTTATAGTTTAGTTGACAGTTTATTACTTTAAAAGTTCAATAATTCAATTTTAGTTTAACATAAGTTCAATATTAATTTAACAACAGTAACACCTGAAAATAAAAAAATAACATGCAGATTAGAATTCAGAACACAAGTTTAACATAAAGTACACGTTGCTGTTTTATTGTACCCTCCACTTCATACAGCCATTTAACACCATGAACTGAGATTAAAGACCACGCCATTACTGATGTTGGATGCTTCACAGTTTTTATCAGGAATTTGGAAGTGTTTCTAATTAGAGCAACAACAAACATTCTGCCACTAGTTATCAAGGACTTAAAATGTTGATTTATCACTAAAGACAATCTAAAACACAAATATAAATAAAAAAGAAGACAAAAGTCATGAATTTAGCCCAAAAGAGAAAAAACAGATAGTAAAATGGTCATTTGCATCATAATCAATTGCCCAAGGATAATAAAACAATGTACTGATTGTTTATTCATTTTAAATTTAATAATTCTATAAGCAACAATTATATTTAGAAGTGTTTTACTTCATTAAAAAATAATGTAGCCAGCCTGGATGAGGTGACAACAAAACAGCTCACAGAAACTTTTTTGAAATGTTGTTCTTTTGGCATGTGTGAAAATTTTCTCTCAGATGTGGAATGTTTTGAAATTAGCCAGGCCTCTTAATTCTAGCCTCTGCTTTACAGTTTAGAGTGCCTTTTGAATTAAGCCTAATTATTCACTGATTTCCCACTGTGTCACAATCCCCAATTTTAACAAAGCCTCCACTTTCTCTTTCTTTCATGTACTCAGATCTCTACCTTTTCCCTGCAAAAGTACATAAAAATTTATATTAAATACAAAAAATAATAAAATAAAACAAAAAAGGGTTTGACATGCTACATTACTTGTTATTTCAAAATCAGTAGTGCCAATGTTTTTTTTTCTTCATAAAAAAACAATAATAACGGAAGTAAAAGATTTTATATTATATGTATAATTGTAAAAACAATATGTTACTCATCAACTTTACATGAAAAAATTCTCTAACTCAAAGAATAATCAAATTGTTTTCCACCAGCATTTTTAAAATAGTTTTATGAAACTAAAAAGGAACTCAAGGCAGATTTACTCTGTTGAATAAAAAAAATATATCATGACAATTGCTAAAATAGACAAAAAACATGCGATTCTAATATCTTTCTCAACACTGTATATACAAAAACAACTAACCTTTGAATTTAAGCTTTTGTTTTATGTTGTAAATATCTCTAGGTTTAGTTTTCAAACCGCTTCTATTAAGGCTATCTGTCACAAGTGCTGTATTTGCCCCATGTTCAATCAACATCAATGTCTGCTGTTCTAATAATCCTTTTGGTTGACGCTGTGAACTATACATAGAAAATTCTTCTTTACCATATGGATGGTTGTGTTCAAGAAACACTTTTTTAACACCATAGCATTGTCGTTGGTTGTCATATGAAACATAAATAAACATTTTGCAGCCACATGGAAGTATTGCCTGATTATTGCGCTTACCTTGATTTTTCTTCATAAGATAAGGTTTTTGGTGGCCAAAATGTTTGCATGTCCATCTGCAAACATGAAAAGTACACGAATAACTATAAAATAAAAACATTTTTTTATGATTATTTTCAAGTATTTTTTTAAAAGGAAATCCATATATAGTAATAAAATAGGTATAAATACACCACAAAGTTTAGTAAATAAAAATATTACAAACATAAATGTAAATTTAAACCTGCATGCATATATTGAATCTAAAGGTTGATTTTTAATTTGTGATTCTTGCTTCACTTTCTTATTGTAACTTTTAAATTTTTCCTTGTAATCAAATCTAATTGGATGAAAATGGGTATTGCAGTAATGCATCACAGCCTTTTCTGCAGCATTAAAATTACAAAATTTTTCATTTAGAATATCTTGCATTGTTGAAAATATTTTTAAATACTTTAAAAATCTAAAAGAAAAATCTTAAAAAATTTTCGAAAAAACTCTTGATAAACACATAACAAAATCTTTAATTGTGTTTAATTGTAGTTGTCCAGTTTGATATATAAACAACTAACTTCATACAAAATTATATTTTTTATAGATATAAATTTTGAATATATATGTTTAAAAAACATCATCAGTGAGACACGTTTTAAAATTATTTGTAAACTGTGATTAAATTTAAAATAGCAAAAAAATTAAACTGTGATTTGTAAACTGTGTATTAATTTTAAAAACCAATAAAATTAAGCTGTTTGTAAACTGTGATTAAGTTTAAAAACACCAATAATAATTAAAAAAAGTGGATAAAGAGCTCAACTCATCTCTCCACTGCAAAAATCAAAGTTCATGTTTTGAAGTTAAAGGACTAAGAGAGGCAAGATCTGATTCATATCAAGCTGCCTTGTGTAATTTGCTTTCATAATGAAAGTAAGAAATGAATGTTAGAAATGTTACTCAGATTTAAAACAGATTTAATACCTGAAGGGCCTCTTGTTGAGTAAAAGTTAGAGATAGTATATCTATAAAAGTATTTATCTTGGGCAGGCATAAACTGCATCAAGCAACTGTTTTGTAGAAGTTTCTAACCTTGTATCACTTTATCCCATGGTTTTCACCTTCCAAAGGAAATGCAATTTTTATTTGTAATCGTTTCTTTCAATTTTTTTAACAATAACAATGACAAGAGAAAAAAAAATTTTCTCTAGATTGTTCTTGAATGAAACCTTTTGCAATATATATATATATAAAACCTTTTACAATATCTTTACACTATTTAATTTAGGAATTAAATAGTGTCAAAGACATTGCAAAAGATTTTGTTTCTTAATATAAAAAAAAAGGTCAAAAATTCCTAAATTAAATAGTGTTGCTTGCATTGTTGGTAGAAAAAGATAAAATAAAAATATTGAAAGGATTGCACTGTCTCAAAGGTACTGATACCTTTACTAAAAAAGAATTCTCATTCAAATCTATAAATATCCAAAACATTTTTGCAGAGGTAAAGCAAAGACGACTATAAAGGCGAAAATGTTGGTGAGATATGATAAAATTGTTAATCTTAAAAATACTACTTGCATAAGTAAATTTAGTAAACAATTAGCTTTACTTTAACTAGTTTTTACTCTTACACAAAAACTTTTGTTGCTCTTATACTTAGAGTTTTTCAGAATTAGAAACTTTTTCTAAATTAATATTTCCTAAACGTTTGTTGATTAAAATTTAATTTTTCAAAATAAAATATAAAAATTATTATTAAAAACAAACTAAAAAAGTAAAAGAGCAATTGTCAAGAAAAGTTACAAAAAAAGTTGACAAAATTAAAAAATTGCAAATCATATTTTTTAGGAAAACATGAGAACAGGAGAGAATTCCTTTAATGTACAAGAAATAATAATAGATGAATAAAGATTTTTAGAGCGTGAAGGAACAAATACAGTAGGTGGATACAAATTTGTTGAATGACAACTATTGTCAGATTGAGTTACAGTTAGTAGAATAAAAAAAGATAATTTGGTGAAGCTAAACCATATAAGTATCTATAAAAAAGAAAAATAGATGCCATCATATGATGGTGGGACAAGAGCTAAACCTAAGAAGCTGGAGAAGATCCAACTTTATTTACAAACATTTTTGAACCTTGTCTAGAAGTAAAGGTAGAGAATGGAATAAGGTGTAAAAAATGGTAAACACAATTAGAGTTTTAAATTTGGTATGCTAAAATTTCAAAATTAGGAGTTAAAATTTCAAAATTTTCGCTAAATAAAAACTTTGTTTGCTTAAATATTAACGAAACGAAGTAATATTTTAAGTTCTTTGTGTTTAACAGATATCATAAAAATTTTATCCTATCTATTAAACACAACTAAAATGATGAGCACAATTAAGAGTCAACCATAGCAGATACTTTGCAATAAATTGTAAATAAGATTCACTACTCATTAAATCAGGAAGATGAAAATTAGAAAATTTCAGTAAAAGTGTTTCCATTCATCAACAAAAAGATATCTACAACATTGTGATAGTTATTAGCAGTAACAACTGTGAGGAATAAAAATCACCAGTCACATTGAGCCAAAAGCTGTCACAGAAGAGAGGTGACATTCAAGCCTGCCTGATCGTTAATGTAACCTTTCACCAAACTTCACACAAAAAAATACTAACAGAGACATCATCTATGCTCAACATGGCATTGTTACTATTCGTCCAGTGTTCATTATCATAAGCAGGAAACAATGTAACACAAGTTTACATCTATGGCAGCCAAATAAATAAAGAAGAGTCTTAGTAAAGTTTTTGCAAAAGTATTACTACTAAAAGACAGTATTCAGATGTAATTAAAACATGTTCAATATGAGTATATATTTGTTTTGAAATACCATCTCTAACTTCTCTAGAGCCCAAAGGCTCTAGAAGGTTTTTTATATCAGAGTTAACTTCCCTACCTTTACTTATAAAAGGAAACTCTACAAGGCAGCAGGATTTTTAATATCTACAAGGCAGCAGGATGTCTAATATCTCACCCTTCTACTGGTAACTAGATGTTATCAGTAGCAGGGTGATTATTATGACTGACCTGACAGACTATAATGTGTGTATATATATATATATATATATATATAATATATAATGTATATATATATATATATATATATATATATAATATATAATATATATATATTATATATAATATTTATATATAATATATAATATATATATATATATATATATATATATATATATATATATATATATATATATATATATATATAAATTTTGGTTCTCGTTTTTTTCACTCTTTTTTAAGGCAGCGTGAGGCAGACGTAGTTTTGTGGAATTTCTTTTTAGAAACAGATATACACATAGATACTTTTTGGAAAGAAGAAAAGCTAATCTTGCTTTATTTAAGAAATTTATGCATAGTTATTACACTTTTTTATCGATTATTTTGCTTCTGAATATTTGGTTGGTGTTCTCACATGAATTTGTAGTAGAAGAAATGTTGAGCCGGCTTTTTTTTTTATTCAGACATATTTCTACATGCATTTTCTATGGGCATGCCAAATTTCAACGAAAAATAATTGGTAGCAGATAGTTTAAAATGTATTATATTACTTATACCACTTATTTTAGGTAGCCTTAGATAAACGTTTTTTTTTGTGTTTGTTTTCAGAAACATGCATAAACATAAATTATTTTCATAAAGAAGAAAGGTAGATCTAGATTTTTATATGACTTTTATGCATGGTTACCCAACATTTTTATGTATTATTTTGCTGACAATATTGCATGAAAATATTGTCCCTGTTCTCACATTAATTTAATGTCGAAGGAATGTTGAGCCGGCTTTTTTTGTTAGTTTTTCTATATTTTACATGCATTTTCTAAGCACCTGCCAAAAATCAACGAAAAATAATTGGTAGCAGATAGTATACTAGGTGTTAGACTTTTGGTACATAATTTTGGTTTTTCTGTTGTTTTTTTTCGTTAAGCTTGTTACGGGTGTGGATAGGGGGGCCGACTATACAAAAACATAACAAATCCCAATATGGTATTATTTTGAATTTTATTTTTAGATTAAAAAAAAAATGAATTCTAACACTGTTAGTAACAGAGATGTTGTTAGATCTATAACAGATAGTAAGTTTAATTTCTTTTATAATAATATCAATAATAACTATTTTAAATCAAAAAAATATTTATATATCATTTGTTAATACTTTCTTATTTAAAATTCTTTATTTTGTAACTATAATTTATCTGTTTTTATATTATAAAAACAGATTAATTCTTAATCTGCTTTTATATGTTTCATTAAAAAGAAGATTAATGCTTCAATTTAAAACTTTGCTTTTGAATGTATTGTTAACTATTAGTATCTGTTGTCAATTTTATTATGACACAACATACAAATCAGATAATTCATTGGTTTATTACTTGCAATAATCTTGTTAGCATTTTTCAAATATAATAAAACTTATCATCTTATTATCATCTTTTATTATTTTTGGATTGTATACTTCTTTATCTTTGGATTATTATTTAAATCATAATACAAGCATGCCTAATGTTTACATGTTGTTTAGATCCTGCTGCACATTATGAAGCTTTTTTGAAATATCGTAAGTATAAATCACATATTTTATATATAACCACAACCAATATAATGTAATTAATATATAAACAAAGTGAATAACCATTCCTAATGTTAGCTTGTTGTTTATTAATATATTTTCTTTACATTTTTACTGTTAGTTTTCATTATGTTAATACAGTTGTTGCATCTTCCACATAACTATGATTCTTTCATAATTTTATAGTATTTTGTTGTAATTATACACTTTTTTTGTTATTTTTAGTTCAACCTACCCAGCCTACCACAGGTAAGTTTGTAACCTACCACAAGTAAGTTTGTATAGGATAACTAGATTATCAAATATAAGAATGTATATCTTGGTTTAATTTATGTTATTTTTGATCTTCATTCCTTTTATCAGTTGCTACGGTTAGTTATTTTAAAAGCTAGCACTTTTTAATCTGTAAATAGATTTAATACCAATTTCAAAATCGTCAATTGCAAATTTTTTTTTTTTTTATTACTTTTTTTACCTTTAGCAACATCTTCATCTGCAATTAGTGGTAAGTTTAGCAATTATTAATTTTTAATTTTTGCATTTCTTGAACATTGCAAATTTATTTTTTATTAAAACTTTTTAGCTCTAGTTCCATCCTCAATTGCATTGAGTGGTAAGCTTAAAAATATTTTTATTGCATCCTTCAAAAAGCGTGTTCATGTATGTATGTATTTCGGATCAATTGCAATATTAATTTTTTATTACACTTTGTCACTTAGTTCCATCTACATCTGGAATAATTGGTATGTTTACAAAATTTTACCTTTTTCATATGTTTATGCATTTCTTAGCAATCACAATATTTATTTTTATTTCAACTTTGTTAACCTTTAGTTACATCTTCAGCTGCTACAAGTGGTACGTTTATAAACTATTATTTTCTAATATGTGTATGCAAAATTTACATGTGTAAAAGTATTTTTTCTAATATGTGCATACATATCTTATCGATAGCAAGTAAATTGTATTTTTATTTTTAAAAAATTTTACCTTTGGTCCCACAACCTCCACAACAATCAACACAACCTTTTGCTGGTAAATTTATGATTTAGAAATGTTGCTGAATGATTATTTAATTCATTATATTTTTATTTATATTCACAAATTAGTACATTTATATTATGTTATCATTCAAAGTGCAGTAGAAGTAAAAACCCAGAGCAGTATTTGATTTTTTACTTTTGCAATTATTAACATTTGATTTATTTATTTTAAATCTTTCACAAAATGGTTTAAAAGCAAAGCATTGACAGATGTAGTAGTTTGCAAGGGACCTGTTTTGTATGTTTTCAATGTAATTAAAAGTTTTAGGATTTTTTGAGGTTTTGAAATTTTGAGGTTTTCTCATAGCCTATATTAAATGCAGTTTCAAATTTATATGTAATGTTTTATTGAGTTGATAAATGTTAAATATCTTTTCCATACCTAATTACTGTTCTTTATTTTGTTTGGTTTATATACTTTTTTTTTGAGTTAAGAATATTAATTGGTTTTAAACCAGTTTAATTGTTTGATTTTAAACCAGGTTAACTTATGTTTACAGTTCCTAAATATTATAATTACGTAACCATTACTTGTTTGCAGAAGGTATGTATGAGATTTTTTTTACATGTTGTATTATAATGCTATTAATTATTAACAAATTTTTATATATTGTTTGTTTACTTTTCAAAAAATTAAATTAAAAATATGGTATATTAACTTTGTGTGTGTGTGTGTGTGTATATATATATATATATATATATATATATATATATATATATATATATATATATATATATATATATATATATATATATATATATATATATATATATATATATATATATATATATATATATATATATAGGTTCAAAAAAAAGTGGAGTTATGTTTGCGGATACAGTAAAAAAAGATTGATCTTACATATAGTGCAGAAGGGGATATCACCACGGAGGAGGGCGTAGGCGAAGAAAGAATGGTAGCAGTTGAAGAAGAAGTTTTTTGTATTAAAAATATATATTTAACATTATCAAGTTTGTTTTCCATGCTGTCTTAATTTTTACAATTATTAAAGTTTAATTTTTTTTCCAAAATAATTTAAAAATGAAACACTGACAAGTGAACTAGTTTGTAAGAAAAATATTTTTTTCAATGTCTTTAAAAATTGTAATATAAAAATTATTAAAGTTGTAACTATAAATAGTTTTCATATTTTATGTACTAAAAGAATTTTTGAAGGATTTCCTAGCCCATAATAAATATAATAAATATATGTGTAACTTTCAATAGTTGATAAATGTTAAGAGTCTTTTGCATTTGTACTATTTATATTATATGTACTAAAAGAATTTTTGAAGGATTTTGTAGCCCATAATAAATATAATAAATATATGTGTAACTTTCAAAAGTTTATACATGTTAAGAGTCTTATACATTTTTACTATTTATATTTTAGTTTATTGAAACTGTTTCTTTGACATTCATTAATCTTAAACTTGTTTGGCTTATGTTTACAGTTCCTAAAAATTATATTAGCATTGTTAATATTGAAATACTTCTTCCTTGCAACCAATACTTGTTTTGTGAGGTATGAACGAGATTTTTTAATTATATTTTATTTAATACATTTGTTTACATGTTGCATTATAATGTTATGGAATGTTAACAAATTATTATATGTTATTGATTTACCTTTTAAGAAATTTAATTAAAATTATAATATAGTAACGCTCAATATACATTTTAAAGGAATTATGGGTCCAAAAAAGAGTGGATGTGTGTTACAGGATGGAGTGAAAAAGTATTTAGCTTGAAAATATGGTACAGCAAGTTGTGTAGCTTGCAAAATTTTTTTGATAGACGGCTCTGGCTTACCTTCTCGTGATGTCTATTGTTAAAAATGATTTATTTAGTTTCATTATTGGAATTTTAAATAATATCATTTACTAACTGCCAAGACATAAATTCTATAATTTGTATTTTAAAACTTTTTAAAATATAAGTTTTAAAACTGTGGTTAATTTTTAGGGTGGATACTCCAACCTGCATCTTGTAATGTGGTAAGATTATTAAGGTTATGTCTCGCTTATATTCACCGGACCACCAGTACCATTGTTTTTAAAGTTCGTACATAAGTAAACGCATTTAGGTTGATTAAAGTAGAAAAGCGGCTATTTCCTGAGATCAGATCCCTATTTTGATTGGACGAAAAATTTGACTAGCGCTAGGTCCGAAAAATTGTTTCTCGTTAGCCGGATATATTTTAACTTGCTTAATATAAAACATATATGCCTTTTATATATGTTCTATTTACGCAAATATTTACCAGCAGACCACGCTGCAATTTTTTTATGTTGATTTTTCACAGAATCGTTGCTAAAGGTAAAAATTATATTATAAAAAGATTACGATGGTAAGTTTTGAGAGTTATATTAGCATCTTTAATATTACTGCTAAACAAACACTAGAATTTTCATTATTTACATAATTAAAGTTTCTTGTACTTTATATAAAATTATATTAGCATATTTAATATTACTGTTTTACACATAACTTTTATATTTAAAGTAGGTATGTCACATGAAAATTTTAAATTCATCAAATTATAGGTTGTTATATATCATTAAAAAGAGCTTAATGTCAATATTCTAAAAGTGAAAAAATTTTCAAAATTGAACCACCCTACAAAAAGTTATGACGTTTTAAGTACCGATTTTTTGATATTAGGATTTGTTGAAGAAACTGTGGTCAAAATAAAGTTTTTATTAACTAAAATTATTATAACTTAACCAATTCTTATCCAAATGTTTATATCTTGGTATCAAAAGATAGATACAAGAGTCATCTACAAATTTATAAAAGTTTCTAGATAACGGGCGCATCCGGGGGTAAGAGGGGGCACAAAACCACCATCCTTACCGGCAATAAAGACTTACTATATTTATAAAAAAGTGTTTTCTTTTAATGAAAATGTAAATTTTTATATGCAAGATGTTTTTGTAATTAGCTATCAGATCACAATCAAATATAGAAGACTCATCATTGCCTTTGGGTGGATGTAAGGGTGATAGTTTAATACACCCTATTATCAAAAATGACTCTATATAAATATTTATCTTTATAATTAAAAAGAAATCTAGTATTCAAATCAAAAATTATATTTTACTACTATACAAAATCACTAGCAGCGCACCCTTTGTTTCAAGGGTGTAGATGGGCGAGGGGGCGTGTCGTTGTCCCCCCCCTCTTCCTTTTTTTTTGACAACCTAAAAAAAAGAAGCTATTTTTAATGAGATTCGAAAAAATATTTAAATGCAATTAAAATAAACACTTTAATTTAAAAACATCTTTTACCAAAACTCAAAATACATCACACAATGCTTTGTGATTTGTTATAGATGGTTCCCCCTCTGACCTAAAAAAGAATTTCAAAAACAAAAAATGTTTTATAATATTATTCTAATTAGTTTGCGTCTTGGCTTTTAGTTAATGATTAAGATATTAAATTCCATTAATGAAACTATATATTAATCATTGTTAACAATAGACACGACGTGAACGTAAGCCAGAGCCGTCTATCAAAAAAAATTGCAAGTTCCACTACTCGCTATATATATTTTATGCAAAGTTCCACTACTTGCTATACTTTTTTTTTTGCAAGTTCCACTACTTGCTATATATTATTTTGCAAGTTCCACTACTCGCTATTTTTTTTTTTTTTTGCAAGTTCCACTACTCGCTATATAATTTTTTGCAAGTTCCACTACTTGCTTAATTTTTTTTTGCAAGTTCCACTACTTACTATATTTTTTTTTTTGCAAGTTCCACTACTCGCTATATTTTTTTTTGCAAGTTCCACTACTTGCTATATACTTTTTTGCAAGTTCCACTACTTGCTATATTTTTTTTTTTGCAAGTTCCACTACTTACTATATTTTTTTTTTTTTGCAAGTTCCACTACTTGCTATATATTTTTTTTGAAAGTTCCACTACTCGCTATATATTTTTTTGCAAGTTCCACTACTTGCTATATTTTTTTTTGCAAGTACCACTTCTCGCTGTACATTTGCATATTATTGATATATATAGATTTGCATATTATTGATATATATAGATTTGCATATTATTGATATATATATATATATAATATATATATATATATATATATAAATATATATATATATATATATATATATATATCTTACTACTTTATTTTACTATTTTTTGACTTTCTATCTCTCTCTATATATATATATATAAATATATATATATATATATAGAGAGAGAGAGAGATAGAAAGTCAAAAAATAGTAAAATAAAGTAGTAAGATAATAAAATGCATTTTTAATTATAAAAAAAATAAATGCAACATATTTACATTAGGAAAACATCAACTCACCGGATACAATGTCAGCAACTAGCTGGAATTTTTTCATATAATAATCAACTGCTTCAGTATCATTTTCTTCTCTAGTCCAATAAGAAATAGTGTATATAATATCTTTCTGAGCTTTTTTAAGTTTTTCTACTCTGCCATTATACAAGACTGTCATTGCTGTATCGGAATCATACCATTCATGGCAAAGATTTCTCCCAACAATTCTTTCACACATAACATCATTTAAATCATCAATTTGCTTGGTAGATAAGTTTTTAAACAAATTCAGAATTTCACTAATAGTTAATAATGTTAATTGTTGCTCTAACTTTCTTTTTTCTTTTTCATCAATTTTTTGGCGTTTTATAGTCTGTCTTTTAGAAATCTCAGCTCTAATTTCAGTATGTTGTAGTCGAGTTTTTATTCGTTTTTTACGTGCTGCCTGAATAGACCACTGAACTACCATTTTTCTAGAAAAGTCATCAAGATTATCCAGATAATCCATTGTCCCATTCTTTTTGGTTCGTAATTTGCAAGATATATAATCAATAGATGCATTAGGAGATCTTCCTTTTGCAGCACTGAACATTCCCATTAACTCTTCACTATCTATGTTATGAAGCCTTGCACTAGCTGTTTCTTTTTCAAGTGCTTCTGTAATGGTAATGGAAAAATAGCGCTTATACTGTCGATTTAAAACCACTTCTATTGCATTGAGGCAAGCCAAGATCATGGCAATGAGCTCGTCATCAATTCTACATATTTTTGTTAATGGTTCTAACACATTTGCTTTGAGAGCATTTCCAAAAAAATCTGTTGTTCTGCAAAATATTGCAGCTGGATCGCATTTGCAGTCTTTAATTGTTTGCACAACATTTTTAACAATCTGGATACCACCAACATGATCAAAATATGCTTTCTCAGATGACACATAAAACATTGTCATCCACGGCCCTGTAAGAAGTTTTCCAAATAAAGCAAGTAGACACATTTGCTTTATAGCAGTTGTATTACAAAATGCTACTCGCAGAACCCTTTGTAAAGTTTTTATTTTTACTGTTCCTATAGTTAAAAAATGTAAAAATTTGTTATAATGTTTTATAAAAATAAAACAAGTGTGGAACAGAATGTGAAGGCGATTTCCACGATACCTTGGAATGATACCTCGTGGTAGTTTATTATTGTCTAAAAAATTAACAAATCCCTTTGGGTCACCTTTACCATCTTTGAACCTCATCTTATTCATAGCCAAAACAATTTTTGCAGCTATACAATCATTTCCATATAATTCGCAGCTATCAAGCTCTAGAGACTTTAATGCTGAACGACACGATGTGGCAATTGTGTCAAGAGGGTGCAAATGACAGTTTAATTCATTGAGACTTTTACCCCAAGTTTCACCAATTTTTCTTATTGTAAGATGGTTAACAGATACTCTGTCCGACATTGTGTTTGAAATATTTGATATGACCATACGACGACATTCTTCAAAGGGTTTCAAGTGAAAGTTTGAATATACTAAAGCTGTATGATCCACTTCGTTACATATATGGTTCGCATAATCCACAGCTGTCCCACCTGGTAATTGATCAACAGCAATTACCTGGCATTTATCATTTGAAGTTAAGTGAATACTGTTGATATGAACACCTTCTTGTGTAGTTGCGTCAAACCCAAGAGTAAGATGAGTATTACTAATGATCCATTCAGCTGCCTGCAGATCAGCAATACTGCCAAGCTCACGAGCCATTTGCTCAATAGTGCTACGACAAGGAATGTGAGAAAAAATAACACTGAAATATTGCCCAATTTTGCTTACTAGAAATGGAATGTTACTTGTTGGGACATTACACAATAACATGCAGTATATTATCATTCTCATTTTTAATGGATAGCTTTTACAATCAGTTGTATTTGTAATACTTATCTTGTCCTCGTCCATTTGGGTCAAACTATCTTCTAAGCTAGTAATATCCGTATTATTTTTTCTAATCGCAGCATTATGTTTGAGAGCTAACTTTCTAAACTTTTCTCTCTCTTTAATTTTTATTGCTTTTTTTGATGCAATAAGATTGCGAACTTGCCTGCTGTAATAATATGTTTGGTTTTTATGTTTTAAGTCTCTAACCTGAGCTCTTAAGGCTTTTATAATATCTTCTTTTCTTTTAACACTTTGCCTTAGAACTTTTAATTTATATGGCAGGCTGGATAATTTTGCTTTCATTGAAGCTATCTTCTTACGATTTTCTATTGAAGAAATTGCTAATCTAGAAGACAAATGAGACAACCGGTTAGTTAATTTTTTCTTCCTAGGGCTCAATTTTTCTATTGAAGTCTGTCTAGTAGTTAAATTTGCTTCATGTTCAGCAGAACATGAAGGTTCATTACGTATCAGAGATGTGACACTGCTGTGTTCTGACAATGATAAAACAGAAGAATGTGATATTGTGTAATTAGTGTTACTTAAGATAGGCTGCGATAAAATTGTAATCAGTGGTTCAGGGTTTATAAAGGGCTCATTACAAAACGCAACACAACTTTCATATTTTCTTAAAAAATTTTTAGACCAGTTTTTGGCTATGTACACTACTTTTTTGATATGACTGGAGCAAATATTCAAGTTAAAATGCTCATTGACTTTTGCAACTGTTTTGCTAAACAACTCACCATTGCTAGTATAAAGAAACAGAACGTGTCCATTCATGCACCCAATATTTGTGTTAGATGGCAATGTAAAATTACTAATTAAATGTTTTTTGAATTCTCCTTTAAATATGTGTCGACCCATTATACCATTAAAGCATTAAATAGTTACAACTGATGAATTTTTTAATAAATTTAGAAATGTAAAACAAATCAAAAAAATAATATTTAAATAATAGGTTCCAAGTTTATTTGTCTTAAATATGTATATCACTAAAAAAAAGTTAAATGATCCTTACCACTCACTTTGACACTTACAATAACAGTACCTGTTTGCCACTCAGAATAACTGGTACGAATTTTGCAAGTCAAAATATTTCCATATTAAGTAATAACCATGAGATATATTAGTTTAATATTTAAAAAATCTAAAGAAAAAATAATTGTTTATTTATTTTTGACAATATCAATAAATATAATAAATTAATATATGTAACTATGGTATTAATATATGTAACTAAACCAAAAGTTATATCAATATACATACAACATAGTTATGACCAAAAAGTAAACATGTAGCCCAATAAACTATTTGAAAATTAAGCAAAAATTAATTGTATTAAAATTACACTTTTCTTGCGTTAGTATTAGTATTTTGAAACCAACAACAATTAAAAGTATTATAAAAACTACTAAACAGGTAAGTAAATTAAAAAAATTTAATCAATTTTGTTGTAAAAAGCTATTGAAGCAAACATAAAACAAAAATATTTTTCAAATAAATGTTTATTTAAAAAAAAAAAAACATTACAATGTCTATAATTAGTGTAGATAGTACCTGTAAATAGCTTTCAGTGTAGATAGTACTTGTAAATAGCTTTTCACATAAATACTACCATTTACTACAATACACATACAATTTCATTGTATGATTATAAAATATTTTTATTTTCATTTTCAATTTGTTTATTAGTTATCTTTTATGCAAATAGTATTTTTTGTAGATAAGATGAGTGAAGAGATTAATTTTTAATTAATATCTTCACTCATTTTATCTAAAAAAAAGTAATATATAACATTAATAAAAAGTTTACAAAGTTTTATTTTGTTAAACTTAAAAGAATTTTAATTGTGTTGCACCCCCCCCCCCTTTGCCCGCAAATGATTTCAGATTAAGGAAAATAGGTACCAAAAGTGCGCCCCAAAATAGACTGCCTGCGCCCCATTTTTTTTCAACGAAATTTGGCAGACAAATAAAAAATGTGTAAACTTAAATGGCTGCAAAAGATAGTTAATTGCTGTCCATATCTTCAATATTTGCTGGATGCACAAAGTACAACAAAGTTTTGTATGTCAATAAATCAACTTACAAAGTACGTAATAGTAATCAAAAGACACATATTAATAAAGTATAATCATTCTAGTTTTTAAAAAATATCTATGTTAATATGAAATTCTAAAAAACAAGGCAACAAAACACTGCACAACCTACCTCTCCAAATGTGAACTTCAAAAAGCGTGGCACAGAATTTTAGCACATTTATCGGTTCCGTAAAACGCGGATATCGGCGTACCTAATTTAAAGTAGTCTTTAATTTCAAATTTAATAATATATGAAATTGTTGTGCATTTTATATTTGAGAAATGTAACATTACACAAGATGA